TTAAATATAATTTCTCGTCAATTTGAGTTACAGTCTGAAAAATTATCAATAAAAATTAATAAGCCAATGCAGGGTGTGCAGAATCAATATGTACGAATTGTTGAGACGTTTCGACTTTATTTTAAGTTCTTATCAATCTATAAAAAATATCGAGATAGTTCATTTACAAACCAACATTTTGATATTATTTGTACATACTGTAATAATTAATATTCTATAAACAATGGTTAAAATTGTAGAGTCCTAATTTACACATATTTACTTTTAAACACATTACGTTACGATAAGATTAAATCACAACTGTCATGGTGAGGTGTCTTTAACTGAATGACAATTTTAAACGAAGTATGAAAACGCTCCGGTTTTAACAAACTAACAATTTATCAAGGTATGAGCACATTTTACAGCACGAACAATCTCACACATCAATTATATTTTATCATCGACTTTATGTAATTCTCACCTTTTTTGACTTTGTTATTAAACTTGACTTTTGTATGTAATTCTTGCGATCGGTATTATTGTAATTTGCGATTAAAGAAATCTTAAATAAGAGACAAAACGTTTCGCTTAATACTGTTACGTTCTGGCCTACGGTAACAGTCGGGCCCTTGAGAAGAGACGTAACTGACACACGACACTTTGTGTGTCTACTCCCGGCACACTGACCCAGAGAGATATGCGAGTCAAGTGCGCGAGTCGAGCGAGATTTTTGGCGTCATAAACAAGCCAACAAGCAGTTTTCGCTATTGCTTGTCCAACGGCTTTTTGCTCATCGATTCCTTTTTGCGTCTTAGATGCAAATCTAAATTACTCGGGATGGAACCCGGCGATCGATTGAAGGATGACAGGAATGAAACGATTATGAGAGGTCCAGAGTTAGACTAACTCAAGCCACCTTTTATTAACATAAACGTTTATTTATTTTAAAGTCTTATTTATTTTACTTACATCTAAATTTGCTTATAACTTAATTGTTTAAACGTTTAAAAAATACATATATATATATTATTAATATATATTATTATACTAATTGTTTAAACGTTTAATATTCTATTAGAATATTCTATTAAACGTTTAATATTCTATTAGAATATTCTATTAGATCAGTAGTGTTTGTGCGGTTATGACACTGTGAAAAATGTGTGAATGAGGAGGAAACTGTGAAATACGTGTGTGTGTGTGTGGGGGGCTCAGTCTATGGTTACTTTGATATAATCTCTTACTATGGTGAAGGAAGGATAGAATCTGTAGAAACAAGAACTTCACGGATTTCTGGGAGTGCGAGGAATTTTATCAGGATTTTATAGTCGCGAGGGAGGGTGAACACCGCATGACGAAGAGAATTTGGAAACTTCCTACGGAAGTCTAGAACTCTGTCGCCTTCGGTAAGAGGAGGGTCGGCAACGGGAAAGGAATTTGCTAACATGACGTAATGTGCAAGGTCAGGAGGCAGGGAGTCATCATCTTCATCAGAGAGGACTTCAGGATCGAAGGAGGAGGAGGAGTTCTGTCGAAGAGGAGTAGAGGCCGCGTGTACATCAAGGATCTCATCAAGGAAAACGGGTAAATATGAGGGAGATTTCAGGGATAAGAGAGAAGAAAGGCGAAGAGAAGGCTGAGTGGATGTTGTGTGGATGTGTGTATGTATGTTAACCGGTTAACTGGCAATGTATCATATATGATCAAAAAAAATCTGGTCAATTCTGCTTATGTATTATATATGATCAAATGGAATAACTTTCTTGATTTTCAAACGATTTGAATGAAACTTGGTATATGATGGTTTTTGGGGTCGCTGAATCTGAGTTTGGCATTGGAATTTTAAATTTCAATATAGCAGACTCAAAATGGCTATCAAATCTGAAATCAGATTTTCAAAAGCTCTTGCGATGGAATTTATAGATGAAGAATTCAGGTATAAAATTATTCAAAACTGTTTCGTAGAAAGTGAAAAAACTAAAAAATTAATCCCCTAAACCCCTATTCATTCTACAATAAAAGCAACAGAACAAAAAAAAAGTTTAGTAAAGAATTGAAAAAACTCANCCCTAAATTCTATTTTTTAGGGGTTGGAGAGTGTCAGATCAAAAAAATAACCTCCGGAATCGATTCAGCGACTCAAAAAACCTTTGTATACCAAATCTTGTGGGATTCACTTAATTTTTCGATGTTGCCAGTTCGGGCATGAATAGTAAAAACAACCGTGCCAGTTAACCGGTTAATACTATTTTCTATAATTTTAGGTTTGCTAATTTTAACATTACTATTCTTTTCTTCTACGACGTTACTGTCAATACTATTATATATTTTTGCTGCAATTATTATTATTCTTATTACTATTCTGCTCATCACTGACAGAGGAGGAGAAGTCGGCTCGCTCCGGGTAGTTGGCAGCGGTTCTGCCCCGTAGCGCACGGTTACGACGGTTGCATCGTGCTAATATCGCGCTCCGCGATTTGAGATATTTCTGGGGTTCCACTTAAAAAAATGTCACTCGTTTTACTTACTCCCTTGACGGGTCAAGACCGGCGATTAATTTCCGGAAAACACAGTGAGCTAATTTCCTTCGCTCAATGTCACCGAAAGAGACTCGGCAGTTGTTCTGAACGACTCAAGATTGCGAACAGCTAATCCGACTGAGAGGAAATCGGCAGTGGTTCGGAACGACACGAAAGGTTGTGAATCGCTAGTCCGACTGAGAGGAAATCGGCAATTGTTCTGAACGACACAAGATCGCGAACAGCTAATCCGACTGAAAGGAAATCGGCAGTGGTTCGGAACGACACGAAAGGCCGTGAACTGTTAGTCCGACTGAAAGAAATGAAAATCAGAAACTGTGAATACAAATTTCCTCCGGATATTAATCGCTCTTGTTAAGTAAATGGAACTGATAACTCAAGAAACCTCTTTTCTTAAAACTAAAACTATTATAACTATTGACTTACTACTTGTTGTAATCGCTAATATCGGCAGTCAGGCCGCGTCAAGATTGTTGGCAACGGCTACGGTTGGTCGGCTGCTGGCCAGTTCACTAACACTTCACACAAACTGTTGTCAAATTCTGACTAAACTGGTCGAGATTGCGGTGCCGGAATAATTTATCAGGATGAGAATGATTGACAAGCAGAAGACGAACAAGTGCCGAGACTCGCTACTTATATACTATTACTCAGGGACCTCGAATTCCTTGATTTTGCCAATCAAACTCAGATCCTGATTCCCCTGTCTTACGAAAAAGTCGCCCTTTGATTCGTGGTTCCGCTCTAGCGAAAGCGCCAATCACAGGCTTTAGCTAAATCGGCTGGATTATCTTCTGTTTAGACTTAGCTATGATTTCGCGTTATCGCACTTAGATTCAAGCTCTCGATTTTTGCTTTGAAATTTTTGTTTCAACTTCCTGCCTGAAGAAAAAAGGGTTTGAATTTCAGCCGGGTGACGCACCATGTATAACGCACATCGTATAACGTGCGAATATCTACTATCGCCTTATGTCTTACTGCGAATCGAACTTATATCATGGCAGTGTCCCGCGTGCAAACTGATTGTAATTCGTTTATCATCACTGGCCGGCTCTTCATTCTCCATCCAGGAAGTTTGCGTATCTCGAATTCTTGGTGCTAAGATTACAATTAGTTATAATTCTGACGAGAACACGTAAAAAAAAAGATCGTGAAGTAACAAAACGTAACATACTTATGTTATTTTATTCATTTTTACTTTTTATTAAACATCTTATTTTTTGCTTGCTATCAGACCTTTATTATTACTTTTTACTTTTGTTATCAAATTATCTAGATATGTTTCTAATTTTTTGAAATGTTTGCAACAAGCGTATCAGAAATTAATAGTAATAATTCGGTGATAGATTAAAACAACAATTAAATCAAACGCGCGATTTACAGCTCCGTTGATTTACATGAAGTCTCGAGTTCTTTCAGAATCCTAGACGAAGCGCGACGCGCAAGTGCAAAATGCAGGAACTTCTTGACACAATACAAACAGCCGCTATGTACATATGCTCGCGTGCAAATTGCATTCATGGGTTTTTGATTTCGCAGTCTCATCAAGGCAATCGCGTGATTCCGCAAATTGTCTCGCGCACTTATTCACTCTCGTTCGAATCTGCTCTTGTTTATTGATTGTACACGAAGATTTGTCGATGATCGATGGTTTTGGCTACGTGAGTTATCGTTGTCACACAGGAGGACAGAAAAAGTCAGATAAATAAATGGTGAAATCTCAACGAGATAAGATTTTTCTCGTGATTTTTCTTCCGGGTTTACTTTGATAAAAAAAATTTATCATTTGAATTAAATGAAGAACTTCTCATTACAAAGTAAATTATACAAGAACATGGAGTTTTCCGAGCTTCCTGAAACAAGACATCACGGATGTCCTTGAGTTTTTCTTTATGACCGGATTAAACGCCTATGTTGCTTCTCGAGAGTGATTGAAACAGCAAATTAAGACGCAGCAAATGGCATTATCCCGTGTAATTTATTTCTTGATACCGGCTTTTCCCTCTGTTCCTATAACGAAGGAAAAGCACACTCATTATTTCCTAAATCTACTTAAATTTAATAATACCATTCTCTCTTTTATCTGATAATTTTATTGTTCTGTAACACAAGAGCTGGTTTCACATGTACATATGAACAACGCATATCTCGAAAGCTACGCACTTCTTTGTGTACAAAATGTCGCGACGACAAATTAATAAATTGTACAAAACAGGTGCTTATTATTGTATATATTCTCTGTCTATTCGTGCGTCCGATTATTATCTCGTCTCGACCGAATACTCAGAACGCGCGGTCGGTCAACAGGCAGTAGCTATGACAAACTGCGCGGTATTATCAGCTTTGTCCGCGCACTTTAGCTAATTGAAACGTAGATGTCAGCGCTTAACCCCGGTGACCGTCCCTCTTTTGGCTCATTTTCCACTCTCTGTCTGCCGTCGACCACTCTTCTTTCTCTCTCTCTCTCTCTCTCTGTACGGCTCTCTTCTCTGGATTCGCGGATTTGCTGCTTCGTAAAGCAAGCTTTCTGACCCCGACCGGCAAACTGCGCGGTGAATAGATGCGAAAACAGTACAGCGACCGCGACATCGTTCATGAATATTCCCAAGGCTGAAATTGCTCGGCGAATATCTTGCTTCTTGTTCCTAGCGCAGATGAATCTTTTCGCCACCGTTTCTACCAGCTTTATATTGCCGTGACGAGTTTGCATGTATATGCGCACGGCGAAGAAGGAGGATGAGAGTTCTCTTTCACGAACGCTCAGCTTTTTCGACATTCTTACTATCACCTATGACGATGACATCGTTCCAACGTGTGAATTATGCAGGTGCGTGGCGGCACGTCACGTGCCATGAGTGATTTGCATATCAGAACCTTGCGTTTGCTGAAGCTGAAACTTCAGCATATAGAAACAAAGCAAATTTTGAAAATTTCAAATTTTAAACAGATTAATATCATTTACAATAATATTGTTTACAAGATACATTTATTTATCTATAAAGATAAAAACCGAAGAAGTTTCTTGATGCAATTTACAAACTTGATTGCAAACTTGAGATACACAAAGTTTGAATTCTTTATGTATGTATGTATTTCGAAAACACTCACGACAGTTTACAATGATTTAAAGAAATCATTTTGAGAAGTCTAATTACTTCTACGTCACAAAGCGTCACAGAATTGAGCGTATAATAGATCTCTATAAAAGCTGGTCTACCAAATATTATATATTACAAAACATTTTTTCTCTAAAACCCTGTTTTACAAAAGTGATATCAAAAAGTAGCGCCAAGTAAACTTTTGTACGTTATTATATTGAAAAACAATATACAATAACATAATTGTGTTCCTAGTTTAATAAGACTACGTCTTAACTTTTTTTCCATGATTATTAACTAATTCTAAGTAGATACATAACTATGTAATTTGGTAAGATTATATTTATTACTAGAATACAGGGATGTAACAAAAGAAAAAAATTTTTTTAATATAAAAAATATTTAATGCAAAAAAACTTGGCGTGGCTGCATCGAAAGCCTACAGACAAACATGTCTTACGTGCGCATGCAGACTCTTTACAAAGTGCAGTTAGACTATCCTATGCACACGCGCGTGCTTTACAGTTATTTACAATTTATTTCATATTTATATTACAGCTATTACATATTACAGTATTTATATTGCAGTTATTTACAATTTATTTTACAGTAAAACAAAAACTACTAAGTAGCTATTATACATCAGACTGTCGCACAAAGAAATAATTTTAGTTCCTTTGAGTTGAGTATAGAGATGCAGCCGCGCCAAGTTTTTTTATATTAAATATTTTTTGTATTTTGAAAAAATTTTTTCTTTTGTTACATCTCTGTGTTCTAGTAATATAAATATAATCTTACCAAAGTACATAGTTATATACCAACTTAGGATTAGTTAATAATCATAAAAACAGTTAAGGCGTAATCTTATTAAACTAGAAACACAATTATGATATTGTATATTGTTTTTTATTCTATATTGTTTTTTATTGCATATTGTTTTTCAATATAATAACGTACAAAAGTTTACTTGGTGTTACTTTTTGATATCACTTCTTTTGTGTAAAACAGGTTTTAGAGAAAAAATGTTTTGTAGTATATAATATTTTGTAAACCAGGTTTTATAGAAAAAAACTTTTTTGTATAAAATAAAAACTTAAATTTTTTTATATAAATAAAAAATAATGAAAAACAGTTTGAGTTAAGATTCTTAATTCAAATACAATAAATGTGTTGTGCATGTAGTTAGTGCCTGTTCTTATCTTTTTTTAAAAAGGTAAGGTTTTTTTAGATATCACACATTTTGTAGTATATACGTTATAGTTTAGAAAATACATCAAGATGGAAAAAATTATTCACATCATCAACCAAGTTTCAAAACAGTTTACTTTAAAAAAAATTATATCCTCCGAGAAAAAATGCCATCTTTTTTTCACTGTGCGCCGTGTCGCGAAACCACCACGCCGCGAAAAACTTGGAGCACTCGGTACTGTCGGAGGTGTTGCTGGAGTCTGAATTTTTTGCAAAATTTGTTTATCCGTTTTCTGAATTAATTTTCTATTTCATAAATTTAAAGTAATAGTTTGTAGTTATTTCGTGCCAAGTTTCAAAACAGTTTATTAAAAAACAGTTATATCGGAAGTATTGCCGGAGCGAATAACGCGAATCATTACCGTTCTTCTTGATTCACTGTTTCTCTCTCTTACTCACATTTCTTGTCTTTCTTTCATTTTCTTCTTTCAACACGCCCGCACATGCATGCCATCTGGTAGCAGGCATACAAACATGCATATAATGTGGTTCCACGACGACGATAATAATGACAATGATGTTTCTGAAAGTGAATTCTCACTTCGAAACTTTCGTATCGTCGCATATCTCTAAATCAGAAGCACAAAGAAAAACCGCAACAATATTTTTAAAAAATCTTTTCTGAAACGATTGAGACTAAAATAAAATTGATGGTTCAGTTGTTATTGAAATATTGCCCCGTGAAAATTTCCACTCTTCTCAATCGCGTGAATTTTGCGTATAAGAGCACGGGTGCTTCGTGCCGTTCGAGCGCGACTTCGTTGCGCGTGAACTTGGCGCGAAGCACTACCGTGCCTCTTGATGCTTAAAACCATAGATTTTTATACAGTAGTTCCTCGCTAACTGATCTCTCCTCGGTTCCACGAGTGGACCGATGTCGAGAAAGATATTGTTCTGAGAATTGCCGGCTGTTATCTCTGATTGACTCGACCGCCGCTGAGTCATCTTCACCAATTCGCGCAAAACCTCGGCGAAGCACTTCTAGGAATTAGTGGGAATGACTCCCGACCCAATATGGGGAAAAACACATATAGTTAGCGAGGAACTGTACTAAGATACACTAGATCGCTAACTTAGATAGTAGGTGTATAAAGTAAAGCCAAGAAAATATACTGCCATTTGTAATATGTATGGACGCGCCAACTTCATAAAACACTAAATAAATGTCAAATTTTTAAATGTTAAACATAACCTGTCAAATATACTTACGTATAGAATTTAAATCTGTTATATATTTACGTAAAGAAATGCAAACCTGAGTGCCAAACATTCTTACAAGATGTCACGCAACAAATTTATGGCATTTTGAGATTTTTTATGTTGACACCGTTGACGGTTTTTACACACACATACACGCACACGCACACACACACAATATAACGCGATGTATACATATATACAAAATATATAGATGTTAACTGGAAGTGCCGGCCATTTGTAATGCAAATGATAATTGGTTGCATCACTCTCACTATGCGATCTAGTACAGTATAAAAATCTGTACTTAAAACAAAACAAATTCTTGCGCGAATTGTTTGATGAGGAGTGAAGTTAAGAGAAGAAATGTCACAGAATGTTAGAGTGCAGCACAAGTGGCTTCATAATTGCAACGACGGTTACGAAAACGTTAACGATGGCTAATCGATAAGAAAAGTAGTGATGTTGTTAGCTCAAGTACGATATATCCGTCCCAGGAAATGGGGCTTCTTGAAGAAAACTTTGTTCCCAGAGAATAGTATTCTAAACGCATCACGGCGCTTTCGAAAAGAATCTCTTACCAAGTTAAATGAATCGTGAACAATTGCCTACGACGGACAAGTGTGATTCATTTCATAGGGCGCCGTTGGGAAAAGCTTCGACAGAAACGATCGTCGAAGTAACGAATTTTCCCGTGACAATTCGGCTTGTTCGTATCGCTCGCTTCGGAATCGAGAGCTTGCGCTTTGTTCCCAACGAAATTTAGATCGATAATGACACAAATTTAAATCTCCACGTTCAACATTGTACGTTATTTAAAGAAATTATGAATCAATGGCCCGTTAGTTCTCATTTATCGGCATTTTTCACGATACTTTCTGCACGTGATATATTTATTATATGTGTTATTTATTATAAGTGTTCGTGAGAAAGAACACTTATATTTGTAAAACTAATATTTTATAAATATTAGTGTATGTATTTATTTTACAAATATAAATGTATGTATTCATGTAAACGGTTTATAAATTACAGAACATTCTACAAATGTACGAGTTTGTTTGAATTATTAGTTTTACATATGTAACTTCACAAAAAAATCACATTAAAATATTATAATAAATACAGCATTAAAATATTATAAATAAGTTTGAAACAAGGCCGATACGAGCCATTCCCAGGATGTTGTGCAGGAATAAACGTGCATGTATATATAGTATTGCGAGACAAACTCCAAGTGCCTCGGTGGCCTAACAGGGAAGGCGATGGCACGGAAAGCCGGAGATTCCAGGTTCGACTCCTGGCCGAGGAGTTNTGTAAAAATAATTTACATGAGAATTTTCATACATGTGTATATATATATATACATGCACGTTTATTCCTGCACAACATCCTGGGAATGGCTCGTATCGGCCTTGTTTCATTCTTAGTTTGACAATTTCACGAGCCTTTACTATTCATTCATTATAAATAAGTATGTATTTGTATCGCATATATTGTGTATGAAAAACGCACGTATGGCGGCGTAATCCTGAATGTTTAAATATATTTTATTTATCTCAATTTTATCTTAAAAAAGCACCCGGTTTTATTTTAAAATTTAATTATTTGAAATTTAGAGAAAGAGAGAGAGAGAGAGAGACTGCTGTAGCTGTAATTTTTTTGTGTGTTCTGCGATTAATTATTAAAACTCCTTCTAGTAAATAAAACATCACGAAGAACATTTTCTGTGTAGGTTATATTATGAATCGTTCTCTTTTATCAAAAAAACCAAACAAAATAAACATTGTTTTATTTTGATATTGAAATAACTCTTTTTGTCAGTTTATTACGATATTTCCAATAAAGATATTTCCAATAAATCACGAGATAAGCTGAGCTTCCAATAGCCCGGGTTTGCTTTTACTTAAGCAGACAAGTAGTGCGTACAAGAAAACGATCAGCAGACCGCCTGCCGCAAGGATAAACTCGTTTCATTTGCAAAAAAGCTCAGTCAGATCTCAAGAGCAATCTAGTGAGTAATATTGTGTTATGTGCTCTCACATATATATTACAACAAATAATTTTCTAACATCTCATCGCAATGAACGTATTACATTGCTAATCAATTCATTAACTTTCAATTCCTTGATCGATGACAATGCAATTTGCTAGTAACAGCACCTATTTCACATACGTGATTCGATTATCGCGAAATTGCAGAGATGCCTTGATATCTATACCTATATATAGG